TCCCTTGTTACTCTGATCTCACACATCTCATTTTCCTCGCAATGTAAGCCCTTAAAACCTCTGGAGATAATTCTCAGAAGGTTTCTGATATAAGTGACACGTTTCACATTAGAAAGTCATTTGATCCAGTATTAACATAAAGTATTGATTAATGCAGCTTTAAAGTTTTAGGCAGGTACACAGAAGCCGCCGAGATGTGACCCTGAACAAGTTTACTTTTGGTCCAATGCGAATTTGTTTTATTCCCTCTGCTGCCAATTAAACAGGCGGCGTACTCAGACTCAACTTTCCCAAAATAGAACTGCGGTCCAACATGGCACCACAAAACAAATTTTCACAGCATGTGCCTCTGCTAACATTTTAAATGGATTTACACCATGTCACCGCAGTGCACAAACACGGAGGAAGTCACCGTGATCCAGTGGACAAACCTCTGTAACAATGCCTCCTCCTGTGGAAACAGTCAGAGGAAAGAAAGTAGGTCTGAGGGATTCAAGCAGTACAAACTACAGACTCTCAAACAAATGTGAAGCTTTGTTTTCTGAAAGAAAACTTTTGCCAAATTGTTTGATGTTGCAGCAGCAACAACAAAATGAATAATGAACACCTTCACACGGGCGCCTGTTAATGAACTTTCTCCACAGGAGTTCATAGGTAAAGAGTGCCTCGCTTAAACCAGGATTTAAGATTTATATATTGTAAACAGAATTTAGTTCTACAGCGCTGTGCAAAAGTCTTGAGCCACCCCATTTCTTTATACTTTGCTAAGAAAATGGGAAATAGGCCCGTGATTTAGGAAAACATGCGCAATCATCTGTGTAAATATAGTGTGTAAGGTAAAAACAGATTGAAAGTCAATATTTGGTATGACGACATTTATTCTTCAACATAGCCTGAACTCCTTTAAACAAGCATTCTTTTAGTCTTAAGGAATAGTTATTCAAAGCTCTTATTTGGGTGTTGGCTGCTTTTGTTTTTTCTGTCAAGATGATCCCACAGGTCTCTGGGGAGGTCAATACATGACTGATAGTGTGTAAGCTTTTCTGTCCATGTATGTTTTCACTGTATTGTATTGGATTTAAGCCCTGTGGGAGTGTCCCCCCAAGAGGGACAATGGACCCCCTAATGATCCTCTACCCAATCACAGCCCTGTGGGGGGGGGGGGGGGGGGGGGACACTTAAATCTGGATGACTGAGAACCTTAACAATGTTAGGTACCGGCTGTGTGCAAACAGGAATAGGACCCAAGGTGCAGACTCCGGAGACAGAACTTAAACCAAAACAGCTTTAATGCTGAACTCAAACATAACATAACTGGAAAAAGGTCACAAATAAACTAACACCAGCGGATTGACAAAACACACAGCAAAATAAACGGTAGATCGCAACACGGACACAGAGAAACACAGGGCTTAAATACACAGAAGGAGCAATCAGGGAATGAATAACAGGAGGGAAACACAGCTGGGGCAAATCAGAACTGACGAGACAAAAGGAAGCGTAAACTGAACACACTGAGATAAGACAGTGACCTTCAAAGTAAAACAGGAAACACATAACACAGACTCACATGCAGGCACTACAGAGGGAACAGAGACGTGGTACCAGGGCAGACACAAACACTGACTGAACACGGGGATATAGGAACTAAGGATACACAGAGACGCGAACTAGACAAGGGGATACAGGTGATAGGGGAGACAGAGCAACTAAAGAAGACAGAGACATAAACCATAAGACAGAACTCAAAGAAACCAAAGACTAGAAAGTATAAATAATATAATAAACTCAAAAACCCTGGGTCAACGACCCAGGCATCCTAACAGTACCCCCCCCCCTTAAGGGCTGGCTTCCAGACAGCCCAAACCAAAACACCAAAACAAAAAAAACAAAAAACAACCCAACCAGGGTGGGCGGCGGGGGAAGCAGGATGGAGGGCTCGAAACAAAACCAAACAAGGAGCCAGAAACAACAACAAAAAAAACAAAAACAAACAAACAATGGAGCCCGGAAAGCAACAGAACAAAACACAGGAACAAAGTCCAAAACAACAGCACTAAGGCCCAGGCATAGTCCAAAAGCTAACAAACAAAAGGGCTCACGAAAGGCGCAGAGGCCCAGGCAATAGTCTCAAAAAAGTTCAGGGGGCCGGCCCGGAGGCTAACGGCACAACAGTCCAAACCCGGGCAGGTCAGGGGGGCGGCCCGGAGGCTGATGGTCCAAGAGCCCAGAAAACAGGTCAGGAGGCCGGCCGGGTGGGAGGCACCGATGGCGACTGAGCAGATCAGGAGGCCGGCCGGGCGGGAGGCACCGACGGCGACGTAGTTCAGGGGGCCGTCCATGACGTCCAGTCATCGGCCGGACAGGACGTGCAGGACGAGCAGGCCGGACAGGACAAGCAGGCCGGACAAGATGTGCAGGACGTGCAGGCCGGACAGGACGTGCAGGAACAGACAGCATGGAGACCTCAGGAGCATAAGAAGCTGAACACTCGGAGGCCGGACCAGGCGGAGCTGAACACTCGGGGGCCGGACCAGGCGGAGCTGAACACTCGGGGGCCGGACCAGGCGGAGCTGAACACTCGGGGGCCGGACCAGGCGGAACTGCAGACTCGGGGGCCGGACCAGGCGGTGGAGCCGGTGGTGGCTGAACGGCCTCGCCAGAACCATCAGCAGACACTGGGATGTGCTGGCTGGGTCCTCCCGGACACCCAGCTGACGAGGCAAGAGGCTGAACGGGCCCCTCGGATCCTCCAGCAGGAAGAGACGGCTGAAGCGATTCCTCGGACCCTCCAGCGGAGACAGGTGGCTGAAGCGGTTCCTCGGACCCTCCAGCGGAGACAGGTGGCTGAAGCGGTTCCTCGGACCCTCCAGCGGAGACAGGAGGCTGAACTGGCCCCTCGGATCCTCCAGCAGGAAGAGACGGCTGAAGCAATTCCTCTGACCCTCCAGCGGAGACAGGTGGCTGAACGGGCCCCTCTGACCCTCCAGCGGAGACAGGTGGCTGAACGGGCCCCTCGGACCCTCCAGCGGAGACAGGTGGCTGAACGGGCCCCTCGGACCCTCCAGCGGAGACAGGTGGCTGAACGGGCCCCTCGGACCCTCCAGCAGGAAGAGACGGCTGAAGCGGTTCCTCGGACCCTCCAGCGGAGACAGGTGGCTGAAGCGGTTCCTCTGACCCTCCAGCGGAGACAGGTGGCTGAAGCGATTCCTCTGACCCTCCAGCGGAGACAGGTGGCTGAACGGGCCCCTCGGACCCTCCAGCGGAGACAGGTGGCTGAACGGGCCCCTCGGACCCTCCAGCTGACGAGGCGTGAGGCTGAACGGGCTCCCCGGGCCCTCCAGCTGACGAGGCGTGAGGCTGAACGGGCTCCCCGGGCCTCCAGCTGACGAGGCGTGAGGCTGAACGGGCTCCCCGGGCCCTCCAGCTGACGAGGCGTGAGGCTGAACGGGCTCCCCGGGCCTTCCAGCTGACGAGGCGTGAGGCTGAACGGGCTCCCCGGGCCCTCCAGCTGACGAGGCGTGAGGCTGAACGGATGACCGAGGAGAGGAGTGACGGTGGCGTCGCTTCCTTTTAGACGAGGGAACAGGAACCGGTGGAGAAACAGAGACCTCCTCCTCATCCTCCGACCACACAGCCGCCAGAAAAAAGGCAGGCGAACGGACAGGCGAACAAGGTCCCGGCTGGCGTGAGGAAGGGGAGGAAGCCTGCAGTGGCGATGAGGCAGAGTGTGCGTTGCCCTGCGGCAGCAGTGGGGAAAATGTAGTGAGGGAGAGAGCAAGCTCACTAGCCCTGACTTGCTTTCTCCAAGCAGTTATGGTGTTCCCCAACTCAGTGTCCTTAGCAAACTGGCTAAGCCGGGGATTATGCCGAATGATGGCCTCCACCGCGCTCAGCCCCACTGCCATGGTCCTTAAATCCAGGGACCAGGCGATGCGGTCGAGCAGGCTCACCAGCCGCTCCATCTCGCCGTTGAACTCTGAGAAAAAGGAGTCTGCAGGGTCCGTGTTCTGGTCGCGATCTTCTGTGTGCAAACAGGAATAGGACCCAAGGTGCAGACTCCGGAGACAGAACTTAAACCAAAACAGCTTTAATGCTGAACTCAAACATAACATAACTGGAAAAAGGTCACAAAATAAACTAACACCAGCGGATTGACAAAACACACAGCAAAATAAACGGGAGATCACGACACGGACACAGAGAAACACAGGGCTTAAATACACAGAAGGAGCAATCAGGGAATGAATAACAGGAGGGAAACACAGCTGGGGCAAATCAGAACTGACGAGACAAAAGGAAGCGTAAACTGAACACACTGAGATAAGACAGAGACCTTCAAAGTAAAACAGGAAACACATAACACAGACTCACATGCAGGCACTACAGAGGGAACAGAGACGTGGGACCAGGGCAGACACAAACACTGACTGAACACGGGGATATAGGAACTAAGGATACACAGAGACGCGAACTAGACAAGGGGATACAGGTGATAGGGGAGACAGAGCAACTAAAGAAGACAGAGACATAAACCATAAGACAGAACTCAAAGAAACCAAAGACTAGAAAGTATAAATAATATAATAAACTCAAAAACCCTGGGTCAACGACCCAGGCATCCTAACAAACAGACGTTTAAGATCATTGTTATGCTGAAAAATTAAGCTATTGTGTCACTTCCCTCGGCCTTTTCTCCCTGTTTCCCTTCTTTAAAAATGGCTTCTTGAAAGCCACCCTTCCACTGACACAGTTTCTGATGAGGCTTCATTAGACAGTAGATGGATTGTCAGATTTTTCATGTTTCTTAAAAACATTATTTTCCATAGACAGTTATTTTAGGTCTGACTACTACTACTACTTTTGTCCTTCCCTTGTCCAGATTCCTTCATTTCGTTAAACACGAGGTACACCACATGAAATATAATTCAACTAAAGAAATGGGAAGAAACAGTGTGTTAAATGAGTTCTTTGCTAAGTTGTTTATTTTGTAGACATAACACTCATTCATCCTTTGACTTGGGTGTCTTTTTTATGCTTGAATGATTCGTAGATCGGTGTTAAGTGGCTTAACAAACAAACAAAAAAAGGATTCCTCTGAAAATTGTCAGATACAAGGAATGCACCAAAAAAGCAGCCACTGTCCAAAGTAAAACTTTGAATGACCTTTAGAAAGCCTGGAGAGCTATTGCTCAATACTACTTTTAAAAAGATCCAAGAAAATCTGTTTCCTTGGAAGCAAAATATGAAGAAAACATAGGTGGCTCAAGATTTTTGCACATTACTGTATCTTAGATGTCACATGGCTGAAGGGAATAATAGTTGGGAAAAAATGTCCAATCATTTACATTGCAGTTAGGATTTTTTTTGCACAGCCTTTTAAATCCCACAACCCGAACTCAGGTTAGATGTCTGTTAAATGAATGAAAGCTGCAGAAACACAAGGTTATAACAAGGGTAGAAAAAAATATAGTTAATATATTTATCTTTTAGTTTTTAGAACTAAAACTAATTCAGAGCAATAAAATAGAAGGCCACATAATCTGAAATAACTTTTAGTATTGATTTTTTTTTCTATATGCTAAATGTTATGAGATTTATCAGTTTTCGATTTCAAATGCAATACAAGAGCATGAAGTGAAGAGCACAAAAACACAAAAGCCAGTTACAATTCTGTATGAAACAAAAGCTGCATGAACTAAATATTTTATAAAGCCGTTTTGTATGTTTCCTGCTAATGAATCACCCGTTTCTACAGATACAGTTTTAATTAAAATAATTGGTTTCTCCTTTTAGAACGGAAAAATATGCAACTTTTCCATCTCAGCGAGGGGTCTTCTTCATTATGCCACCACCGTTCACAGTTATGGGTATAAACAGTGTTTTTTTCTGTTAACTGATTAAAATGTCAAACACACAAAGGCACATCAATCAGTTCCAACTGGCAATAAGAAGACCTTTCTTCTGTTTGAAAGCGAAATGTATGTTGCTGATCATGTTTTTAGGGTTTTTTTTTCCACATAGCAGATGTGAATCACAGCCAGCCTTGGAGTTTCTAACAGAGAACCAGAACAGGCAATGTCCCCGACCAAAGAACAACCGAATGTTCAAAATAATCACACACCCAAAGAATGCCCACCTCCGCTGGCCTCTGATGAGTTGTTTTTAGGGGGTGGGGGTTTGTGCTTCTGCCAGCAAAGAGAGCTGTGAGTTTTCACAGCACACTTCAGCATCTGGGTGTTGGCTCCAACCAAGGGCTTTTACATCCTTCATTACTGATTTGTCTCAAAATAAATGTCAGTAAACACAAATCAAACCAATCTATGATATGATACGATGTGACATAAATCAGTTTGTATTCACAAAATTGATTTCCGTGACATAGTCAGTCTGTCAGGCTGTCCAGGGATAGGATTTGCTACAATGAATGCATTGTCCATTATCTAATAAAATATCTGTACAACTCAGGAAATATATATATTAAAAAAAAAAAAACTAAATCAAACCATCAGTTTGAAAAAACTAATTAAGTTACACTGTGTCATATAGTTCTGTACCTCAAACTTCTATAATTGTCACAACAAAGATGGATCAGTTTCATTTAGTAAGCAACACTGCAGTCTCTGCCCTCACTAATGTAAGTACTCTGTGCAATAACTCTATAACTCATACAGCTTCAGCATGTGCCCTTTTGAAGTCATGCACAAACTGACAAAGCAAGCCAAAGAGCTCCTGAGAGTCTTGATCCGCCGGTTCTCCAAATTTCACCTATGCAGAAGAGAAAAAAAGGTTTACTGATTTATAAATAAATAAATAAATAAAATGAAAATAATGTGGCAGCAGTTACATCTTCCATGACCACAGGGCTTGTAAAAAAAATTGTTTTACAATTAACAACTGCAATCACTTTCATTTGTGAAGTGGTGCCTGGCCCGCGCATGTTCTTCTTAACAATAGTCTTTTGATTTAATTAGCTCATATGCTGCCTCAGCATGCATCCCAATCCTTGAGTGCCCTTATACAATGATGCAGACATGTACTGCCAAATTAATAGGTAGACCTAGGTGGTTAAAAGGGTCACTGGCATACTAATGTTAGTCATTCTGAAGCCAAAGTTTATTACAAAGGGTCACAGTGGTTAAACGTACTAATTTGCTGACTGCATGCTGTTGACTGTGCAGGTTAAAGTTCAGACTGAAGCCATATGCTGTTACTCTTTCCTGGTATTATTTTTGTTATGTTTTACAAATGTGTAATTTCTCTAATGAAATTAACCATAAGCTTACTTACAAGCAAATATTATGTACTATAAATCTTATAACGCACACCAAACAGCTGACTTGAACACACACAGGATGTGCTCACTAATAATATGAAACAGCCTTCAGCACAGTTGGGCTTCATCTTAATTGAATTTGTTCCTTTACATCTTGCTCTTGTAAAGACATTACAAATTATTACGTGTTAGACATGCTGCGCTGGAAGGCGAGTTTCTTACCTTTTCTAATGATCAAGTCTTTTCAGTTTTTGTGCTAAGCTGTCAGAAATGACTAAAGTGTCTTAGAGACTGGCCAGCGATCCCCTAGCAACCACTGGTCCCAAGGGAAAATTGCGTGTTCCCTGAACACTTGGCAGAACTGGCCACTTGCAATCAGTAGGTAAAACTGGTGGCAATGAGGTATATCATGCTACACAGAACCCCCTTCAATTAATACCCGATTGCCACAGTTTCCTTGCATTTGCATGGAAGACAAATACTATTCGCCGAGCAGTGTTGAAACTGTGTATCCAAGTTTGTCTTCAAAGTAAAAGTCGCACCTTTTGAAACCTTTTCTTTTACTTTAACGGCAAATACTACTAGTGTTTGTTTCAGCGCTTTCCTTGTGACTGTGTACTGCCATACTTAGAGGTTGCCACTGGGTCGCTGACCATTCACTAAGACTGTGTATATGAGACCTAACCTGGCTGTTGATTCTATTGCTATACCTCATGTCAGCAAAAAACTAAATAAATATACTTCCAAAGATATCACATTTCAAGCTGCTGAAGCAAAGCTGCATATCTCTGCATGAAAAAAATCGCAGTCAGCCTAATAAAAAGCGAGCTTGCCGTTGTTATCACTTATTTACTGCAGTTGGAATATCATACAATTTGCCACAGTTAGCTAGCTCACGCTTTCACAGTGTGATTGGCATCATTTTATGCTTCACACTTATTCACAGCTGTGTGGCTATCAGCCGACTCAGTCATTAATATTCACCCAGATGTACAACATGTATATTAGAGCTGACACTAATGACTTTAGCTCTGCTAATGCACTAACGCCAGCCCTTGTTTTTGTAGCTCTCTGTAGCATCCCATCTTTAGTTGCTTATAGTATCTGCTATTTTGTTGGTACTGTAGATTTAATGACAATGTAAAAATGTAATGTTCATGTTTGTATTTATGTAGATGGGGAATTAGGTTTCCCAGCAGAAACCTTGTTGCTGCTAAGATTAGTTGAGAGCTTCATGAAGGAGGACCTCGGACTAAAATAAGAAAATTCCCATGGCAAATATATCCAAAGATCTACATTTAAAGACAAAGAGTATTTGTAGTGGCTGCTGTTTCAGAATAAAAATGAAGGAGGACATTGGCGCTGTAACACAAGCCTTGCTCTTCCAAATACTTAAAGCGTAACAGCTGACAGTCAGTGCATTTGTATTACTGTGTGCTTTCAGTTCGTAGAAACAGTTACACAGGTGTAAGATTCAGCAAAGTCCCCAGCAGCAAAAGGAAGATGTTAGCTAATGGTTAACACTGTTCTCACCATGAAATATTATACTCAGATGTGCAGATTAGTCTATTTGCATACTTTTATCCTCACATTTTTCACTGTCTGCCAGGGATGCTCAAAATTATGTATAACTGGAGCAAAAGACTTTCTTTTACTTGGTAAAGTGTAGAAGTTTAATCCTCTCAACAGTGTTTTAGCTGATTCGCTTCCTTGTCTTTTATGCACGCTGAACATTTATGAGTATTTTCACAAACACATGCTGGGCCCAATAAAATCAATTTACTAACCCATATGGATAAATATGTCATCCACCCATTCACACACAGGTAATGGCAAGCTACATTGTAGCCACAGCCACCCTGGGGCGCACTGACAGAGGCTGCCGGACACTGGCGCCACTGGGCCCTCTGACCACCACCAGTAGGCAACGGGTGAAGTGTCTTGCCCAAGGACACAACTACCAAGACTGTCCGAGCTGGGGCTCGAACGGGCAACCTTCCGATTACAAGGCGACCTCCCAACTCTTGAGCCACGATCGCCCCATTGTAAATTGTATACTACTGAACTATCCTTATATAAAAATATCAACATAACTAAAGTATGCCTGCTGTTGATTTTATTAATACAAATGAAGTTACAAAACCACACCCAGGAATGTTCATTACACACCTGACAGGCGGGTCTTGGATAATGTTTAACCTGTAGGTCTGAGCTGTGCTCGAAGAAGCAATATTAAAACTTTTTATCTGCAGAACCTGAGGTGGAATTGATTTTCTTATATCATGTCTCACTGACATGGTGCATTAAACATGTGCATTGTATGAAAAAAGGCTGGTAATGTGACACAGCTGATAGAGTCTAGTCTTCATGTTTTTATTTTTGCTTTTATGTATTAGAAAAATTGGAGCGCATGTTTTATAGCGTATTATATAAAATGTCTCCTTTTATTTAGTACTTGAAGTGGTTTTAAAAACATGCTTCCAGTGTCTGGGGACATCCGCAAATCAACTGCCCCAAAATTTTATGAGCTGCTTCTATGTTTAATACATTTGCATGTTGGCTATTTCAGGGCATCATTGTGAATTCCCTCCTTCCGCCCCCTTGACAAGATGTGACTAAATATGACACCTTTTCCCCAACCTGCTGCTCCCTTGCACTACACCACAGCCCAGTCAGTCTTAATCATTTTTCCAGCGCTCCTGAAGGGGTTTATTGTACTTTTAGGAAGTTTCAGAGGCACAGCCTTAGTACTCAGTAAAATGGATGGGACACAAGTGGGGCAAGTGTCTACAGACTGTCCTGTGTTAATCCTCAAATGACATTGGTCTTTTCTTTTTGTTATTTTAAGAAAAAGGATGCTTGATTGCTCTGTGGTCTTGTATTTAAAGAAGACTACGAGAATAGCCTGAGAATGGTTCAACAAAAAACATTTCAAATATAAGGTATATGAAAAGCACCACCATTTAAAAACCACTGAGAGGTAAAGTGAATAATATTAACGATCTTGTAACAATAGCACCTGTCACAGGTTGGGATATACATACAGTGGGGCAAAAAAGTATTTAGTCAGCCACCGATTGTGCAAGTTCCCCCACCTAAAATGATGACAGAGGTCAGTAATTTGCACCAGAGGTACACTTCAACTGTGAGAGACAGAATGTGAAAAAAAAAAATCCATGAATCCACATGGTAGGATTTGTAAAGAATTTATTCGTAAATTAGGGTGGAAAATAAGTATTTGGTCAATAACAAAAATACAACTCAATACTGTGTAACATAACCTTTGTTGGCAATAACAGAGGTCAAACGTTTACTATAGGTCTTTACCAGGTTTGCACACACAGTAGCTGGTATTTTGGCCCATTCCTCCATGCAGATCTTCTCGAGAGCAGTGATGTTTTGGGGCTGTCGCCGAGCAACACGGACTTTCAACTCCCGCCACAGATTTTCTATGGGGTTGAGGTCTGGAGACTGGCTAGGCCACTCCAGGACTTTCAAATGCTTCTTACGGAGCCACTCCTTTGTTGCCCGGGCGGTGTGTTTTGGATCATTGTCATGTTGGAAGACCCAGCCTCGTTTCATCTTCAAAGTTCTCACTGATGGAAGGAGGTTTTGGCTCAAAATCTCACGATACATGGCCCCATTCATTCTGTCCTTAACACGGATCAGTCGTCCTGTCCCCTTGGCAGAAAAACAGCCCCATAGCATGATGTTTCCACCCCCATGCTTCACAGTAGGTATGGTGTTCTTGGGATGCAACTCAGTATTCTTCTTCCTCCAAACACGACGAGTTGAGTTTATACCAAAAAGTTCTACTTTGGTTTCATCTGACCACATGACATTCTCCCAATCCTCTGCTGTATCATCCATGTGCTCTCTGGCAAACTTCAGACGGGCCTGGACATGCACTGGCTTCAGCAGCGGAACACGTCTGGCACTGCGGGATTTGATTCCCTGCCGTTGTAGTGTGTTACTGATGGTGACCTTTGTTACTTTGGTCCCAGCTCTCTGCAGGTCATTCACCAGGTCCCCCCGTGTGGTTCTGGGATCTTTGCTCACCGTTCTCATGATCATTTTGACCCCACGGGATGAGATCTTGCGTGGAGCCCCAGATCGAGGGAGATTATCAGTGGTCTTGTATGTCTTCCATTTTCTGATGATTGCTCCCACAGTTGATTTTTTCACACCAAGCTGCTTGCCTATTGTAGATTCACTCTTCCCAGTCTGGTGCAGGTCTACAATACTTTTCCTGGTGTCCTTCGAAAGCTCTTTGGTCTTGGCCATGGCGGAGTTTGGAGTCTGACTGTTTGAGGCTGTGGACAGGTGTCTTTTATACAGATGATGAGTTCAAACAGGTGCCATTCATACAGGTAACGAGTGGGGGACAGAAAAGCTTCTTACAGAAGACGTTACAGGTCTGTGAGAGCCAGAGATTTTCCTTGTTTGAGGTGACCAAATACTTATTTTCCACCCTAATTTACGAATAAATTCT